GTCTGGTACTGGAGACATTGTTGATTTTGCAAGACCTTCTGCAGCAACAGTAGTAGACAAAATTGTAAAAACCTCATGAGGAGGTGCTGATGGCTTAACAAAGGAGGATGAATCTGCAAAAAATAACAAGACACATTGGTATTCTATTGTATGAGAAATCCAAGAAGTCATATTACATTGTACAGTAGCAAATTTGTAAAATGCCCAAATTACATAAAGTTTTACTTTTCTTTCTAAAGCAGTAACGGTTTTGAAAGTAAGAGCTAAATATGATCCCGAGAGGGGGAATCCTCATTGATTGTTAAGAATGTTTTCTGTTGTTTACAATAAGAACAGTATTATTACTCGTCTCGGAGTCTAGACTTGTACCCCATCTAGACACTCCTTTCCTCATCAATCGGAAGCTTTTTTTACATATTGGTTAACTGAAGAATGAAAGCATTGTCATTTCTTGATACAAGATGAAATTTGGCAAGGAACTGCAGTCCGTCAAAAGTGAATCACCTGAAATCCTTGTAGGAGGCAGGCTGCTCTGCACTGGTGAGGGCAAACCAGTGCTGCTGTTTGCTGCAGCAATCTCAGTCTGACTTGTCAAGTAGACTTTTCCTTCAGTAGGAAAGACGGCGTAAGTCCCCTCTAAAGTCTCTTTGACTCCCTCCCCCCCTGGACCCAGGGAGGGTTTTCCAGAATGTGTGGTCATTGAGCTCAGTGGCGTCAGTGTGACAAGACCTGCTACAGTCACGTCAGGAGAGCTGGTCACTAAGGGTTCGAATCCGCTCACACTCTCTGCAGGCCCTTCCTCTTTATCTGCTTCCACAGGGGCAGAGGCCTGGGGTTTCTCAGCCTTCTTCAGGACAAAAGGATTGGTCAGTGTGGAATCCAGTAGCTTTTGAACCTTTGCCGGTGGTGTGGTCTCTGTGGAGACTGTACCATCAGGGATTTTAGCCTCTAGGAGACACGAGTTAATATTTCAGAAAAAAAAACCAATAGAATCGTCCCAAGGTTTTACTGCCCCGATCATACAAGTGCTTTTCATATATGTTTCACTTTTTGTTTTTGTTTCTCCACATAATGCACTCACCATCTCCCTGGAGGTCACGACCACGATTGGAGTTAATCAACGATACTTGAGGCTCCTGTTCAGGGGCAGGTTCCTTGTTCCCTGGGACGTTGGGTAAGGGGAGCAGCTGGCTGTCAGTCAAATCTGAAAGGAGTAAGGCGCCATAAGCCTAAACAATAAAGAGTCTAACAAAAATGAATATGTACTCTAATTCCCAATCACTCAAATTTAAAAAAGTTTAAAAATCCTTTACACTTTCGAACTGGACTGTGGAGCTCTGAATTATCATTTTAAATCATTAGCTAGATCATCAGATTGAATTGATGGATTGCTCAACTGAAAAGGAGGCTCTCCAGATATCAATTGATAGACTTGCAGCATTTACATTTAATTCAGTTCTAACTCATCATGCAGCTTTCAATGTCTATTTTTGTAATGTGCCGGCTGAGGGCCTTGTCAGTGGTCAGAGTTTGCATGTTTCTTCATCACCAAACGACCCAGGCTGCTTTGGATACCCAATACTGCCCTATTGATGCATCACTTAGAAAAGCAGATGTGTATTTGTGGAGAGGTTGTCTGAGACCAGAAATTGAAGGCAAGCACATTTTCCTGTAACTATACTGTGGTACATATCCTGGTTGTCCTCATTATAGAGAATTTTCTGCTTAGAAGAGACCGAACAATATGTAATCAGCAATCATCTTCACTTCAAGAAATGACAACAAATTTCAGAAGCTGTCTTTTGTATTCACAGCAAGCAGCTACTGTAATTGTTTGTTTTTTTACTGGTTCTACTTTATTTTTGTTTATATTATTTTTTCCCCATTGTACCCTGTCGTGATAGTGATTACACTGCTCTTTTTGTCTGTCTTTTCACCAGGATTCAAAGGCTCCTACTTGACAAAGATATCAGAAGTGAAAATTATTCTTAAAATATTTTAATACCTTTCTTCACCTCTCAATAATTCGCTGTTGTTTGTTCCCTAAACATTTCTGTTTGTTTGCCAGTTTCTGCCTTCTACACTTCACCTTGAATTTGTTTCTCAGTTTTCCTTCTCTTTGAACCCTCTTTCTCAACTCCCCTACTTTTTCTCGTGTTTTATTTTTATGCTTCCCCTTATCCACACTGTGGCCTCATATTCCTGTTGTCTCCCTCATTCCAATAAACACCAGAATAAGAATTCACAGCCAGAACTTTGTTTTTCTTTCTTTTTCTAGATAGAATTAACTTCTTAATTTCATCCTTTGTAGCTCTCCACCCCTGACTATTTTTATTAAGGGTAAGCAGGCTTAATCTGTATAATTTCTGAAATATTACATATTGATAATATTAAAGTTATCATATATATTGATTTTAAATTAATTCCTTCAACACTGTGAATGTAGGGAGTTTGCTCTTCATTAAAAGATCTATGTTTTCTTTTGTTAGTGAGGTTAAATACAGCAAAATGCAAAACACAGCTTCTCAATCATCACAATTGAAATAAAGCATTCCTGGAATTTTGCAATTAGATACATGTTGATTTATCAGTGTAGTGGTCAACACTGTAAAGTCAGTCCCCACTAAGAGTGTTCCTATGTTTAAACATACACAGTTCTACCATGACTCATGCGTATAACCCAGTCATCTTTCATAACTGGCTAAGTTTGGATTCACTTGGTAAATATGACTTATAATTATTTTTTCCTTTAGCCAGATGAGCCAGCTCATTTTTTAATATTGGCTGCACACATGTTCATTCTGGGAAATATTTGCCTTTCTTTTCTACTTCATAGCAGTTGCTCAACAGGTCTCCAGATATGGAGATCTTCTACCATCGTGTCCCAGTCTAGAACTGATAGCAGAAACTATGCCACTACAGTATGTAGCTTTACTCTTGGCATATAATAAATGTTAAATATGTTTCAAGACAATTTCATGTTTTAGTCATTGGTCTTCCTTATTGCAGTGCCCATTTTATGTGCATACCTTTGATAATATCTTCATTTTCACTGGATTCGCTGTCAGCTGCCGGTTCTAATGCCATCATCCTTGTGGGTTTTGTAGGAAATGCTTTCTTGCTAAGTGAAAGTGACTTCACTGCTAACTTCTTAGTTGGTTTAATCTTGGTAGCCTCTACATAATGAGACACAGAAATCAGACTGTAGCATTGAAATAAACAAGATACAAATGAGTGCATTTGGTTGCTAGTAGCTTATTGATCTAAGGATCTTATTTCTTTTTCTTGAAGGATCCCAGGGAATTCACAAAAACACAGCTAAGAAATGTGATTCAGATCAACACAATAGTTGGTATATAGAAGAATAGTAGATTACAAAGCAATTCTAAATAATGCTTCAAACAAATTAATGACTATTATCTCTATAAAATAATACATAAAGCATTACAAAAAAATATTCAAAGGCTAAATAACAGAAGTTTGCTAACAAATTTGAGTTCCTTCATATTTTTCAACGAGTTCTTGCCCACAAGAACAAAATTAATTGATTTAGGTACAGTATGTCTGTATTTGGTATGTTGAACTAACCTATTATGTTCTGTTTCCTAGAGTCAGCATGAGTTGTGGATCTTCTTGTGGTTATTGGCACTATTGTTGGTGGCATGCCTGGCTTTTGGTGGATTTCTACAATGAAAACACAAAACGAATATGCTGATAAGTCTGCAAAACAAAATTTATCAGATCATCGTTTTAAAGGTTAAAATCCTCCAGTTCATGGCACGAATGACAATGACAATACTGGTGAAGTGATTTTAAAAAAAATGTCCTCTTTTCATTACCCTCAAAAAAAGTAGAAACATGTAGAAGGAATTCATCTCACCTATTGTACAGTGTTTTCGGTAATCAGGACAGCACTGGTTATACCGTGAGCATTCTACATCACAATAACACTGTTTGCCACGCTGAAAGGTCTCTCCACATCGCCCCTTACAGGAATCAACTAAAAAAAAGAACATGTTCTGTACATTCCCTTTATTTTGGATTTATTTGGCAATTTTGCTTTTAATTGAAATGAGATTCAAATGGTAAAAGTGCAGAAGATATCTATCCATGATGTTGCAGGGAAGAATACTCTTAACAGAAATAGAAAATCAATTTTTGCTGCTGAAGTTCAAGGCACTGATCAGAAGTGACTACATGTGTTCATTGAAGAAGCCTTTTGAAAGACCCTAAAAGCAGGGACTGTGATATTCTAACAACAGAGTGTCACATAAAAGTTTTAAAAAAGCATTAAGCTCTTGTGATATTTCAGATGAATTATCAACCTCCTGAGATGAATGAAAAAAGCAATCTCAGTGAATAAAGTCTTACCTGTGGTACAGAAAGCTTCATAATCACTACAGCACTCCTTGTGTAAAAGACAATCGTAGTCACAGTGACAGATATCACCCCTGTAGTAAGATTCTCCACATCGGTCATTGCAGCTTGCTATGAAAGAAGGGAAAATAAGTGCATAATAAAAACTAGTCTATGAATTTAGAACCTATAGCAACAATGTAACTTTACTCAATATTGAACAAATCAATGTACAAGTTCATCATACAGAATATATATTCCTTATTTCACATTACCCTTAAATTTTTAAATTCACCAAATACAATTATTGTGGTTACTGCTAACAATAGAAAAAAAAAGAAAAGCACAAAAAAGATCAACAGATTAGAACTTTCATCAGAAACCAGAATAAAACATAATACATGTAACCTAAACATTTCACTTCTTACTAGTTAACAACATGCACTGTGTGTGTATAGAAATGTGTGTTTTTTTTTAAACATGTTCCTTGAAGTGAGTTCAATTTCACTACAAATTCCTCTTCCTTCCATTCAAAGTTATATTTCCTTCTTAGTTCACCCTCACTTAACACACCATAGGAGTCTCATAACATCCTAGAACCTTATGCACCCAAAGAAACTCATCAGAAATCATAGTTTTACAGATTACCTCTGAGAACACAACTGGATAGTTACCTATAGCAGCAGAGAGCGGATGATAAAGACAACTAAAGACAATAATTAGAACAGCATATACAGGTGAAGCTGTCATGGTTGCTGTTTACCTAAGGAAGCAAAAAAAAAACAACAGTTAAAAAGTGGCTACTCTACAAAAAAGAAAATCACAAAACAAATGCTAATCATTTATACTATAACTAACACTGTTTCTCAAGTTTTTGAAATACTTGTGTGTTCAATTACCAGTTAAATGATCTTTCTATATCAGATATTGATTACAACTATCAAATGCATAATCAATAACGTATCTGTTATTGCATTCTGACATTTTAAATTGGTATAACATTTTACAAACCTTACCTGCCCTTCCAAATAATTTCTTTTCAGCTCAGCTAAACTAATTTTCCTCTGGTGGTTTTTTATATTCTGTATTGTGAGGGGGCTGGATTTGTCTGACAGGGCTGGTCCTTCTTATTAGCTAATCCTGCGCACAGAGCTTCCCTGCAAATACAGGAAGGCATTCTGGACTGCAACCATTTTATTCCTGGTAGTCTTAAGAAACATTTGGAAATAAACCAAGACATCTTTTACTGAAATACCCCCCACGAGGTCACGAGCCAATTCTTCAGTTCTACTAGTATGCTGGTTTAAATATTTCAGGTGTTATATATCCAAGGAGCTAATTTGGACTATATGTTTAATTATTATGTTACTAACATATTTTATAATAAATAAATCCTTACACTTACATAGTGCTTTTCTGGACACTCCACTCAAAGCACTTCACAGGTAATAGGGACTCCCCTCCAACACTACCAAGATGTATTTCCCACCTAGATGGTGTGGTGGAAGCCGTAGTGCGCCAGTACGCTCCCCAGACACCAGCTGTCAGTGAGGATGAGAACATAGTGATGGAGCCAGTTCATAGACGGGAATTATTAGCAGGCCATGAGTGGTAAAGGCCAAGGCGAAATCTGGCCAGGACACTCAGGTAACATCCCTACTCTTTTCGTGAAGCACCCTGGGATTTGTAATGACCATGGAGAGACAGGACCACAGCTTTATGTCTCATCTGAAGGACAGAGACCTTTTTTGCAGTAAAGTGTGACCATCACTATACTGAGGCATCAGGACCCACACAAACCACAAAGTCCAGCAACCTTAGCTTTCCCAGGAGGTCTCCCATCCAGGTATGAAATGTAGTCCCTAATGTTACAAATGATGGTTTGGTGAGGAAAGCAACAACAACAGTTTTGAATGAGTATACTTGAAATACTATGAAATCTTGTTATTTTTGCAGTTTTTAAAAAGATGAGATGAAGTATGCATACATAGATAAAAGGCACATAGTCAACAACAGAAATTGCACGTAATAATATACAACTTTATTTGCCATTCAACAATCTCATTCACTATACATGAACTGCTAGAAATTCCTTCTGCTTTTGCGGTCCCTCCCATTCATTCATCGTTAATAGAGAAAGACACCGTGTTCCTGGGCTGCCCACGACATGACATAATGGCTTGTATGACAAGCACTGCTTTTAATTCTTTTATTGATAAAAACATGTGGAAGATACTATCGTTAGACTCATTTCTGTGGGTCGGAAATTAATTGCTCAATTTTGGTCAGGCCACTTTTATACTGAGGTAATGTCTCCTGAGAATAACCAAGACCCCACCTTTTTGCACATGTTGAAAGAAATGATATTGAGCATTTGTCAGCATCGCTGGATGTAACATATTAAGAAATGTGTAAGTTTGTTCAACATGTTTTTAAATCTTCATGCAGTAGGTCGGTTGAATCTGCCTGACTCACCCGGTAAACTCCAACCTTCGCAGATGACCAAAGATGACTGCATGTCTGATGATTGATTAGACATCATTAAGGGATATTTTTTCATAGCAAGAACAAAAAACACATACGGTTCATTTTTTACGCTGAAAAACTTCAGAAGCATAAATGATACCAGAATGGGCTCCATATAGACTCTAGCAAGAAAAAAAAGAAGTCAGCATCTTCTGATTTAATCCTTTTTAATTTATAACAGTATATTGTTTCTTGTATGTATTTAAGGCATTTCTTCTTGTTTTAAATCTGAGATTTACTGGGTCTGACTTAAACGGGTCCTTCAGCCTGTTGTGTTTAAAATTTAAATGTGAACTGTGGTCAGTGGCAATCGTGAATTAAATTACTAGCATTGACAACAAAATGCATTTTAGTAAGGAGTGGAAGCAGTAGTTGAACACAATACGTACTACAACACAAAGGCAGTATTTAAGTAAACATGTAAGTGGCAGAAATTTGATATTAGTGCTAACATAGAAGAGGCAGAAGTGTTATAGGTACGAGTTAAACAAATTTGAATGGCCAGATGATATTTTACCAATTGTTCTTGCACAGAAACAAGATGGTATTAACAGGATATTTGTAAAACAGAGGCAATATTTCAATGACTGGGAAATTGCTAATGCGGTGGCTACCCACTAAAACTAGTAGTTACAAACATTAGAATTAGAACGGATCTACAGTATATGCCTCTCAATATAAATGCGATCGTGCGGTATTATCAAGGTGGAATTAGAAAGGGTGGTTCTTCTTTAATTTGTCTTCGAATAGCCACAGCAGCCATGAATACAGAGTACGTGACTTCCGTTATTGTGCTTGTTTTATGAAAATGAGCGTAGTCATAAAATACTACTAGCAACAGGTGTTTTACTTACGAAGAGGATCGGTAATTTTGCACTGTAATAATAATAATTGCTTACACTTATATAGCGCTTTTCTGGACACTCCACTCAAAGCGCTTTACAGGTAATGGGGACTCCCCTCCACCACCGCCAATGTGCAGCATCCACCTGGATGATGCGACGGCAGCCATAGTGCGCCAGAACACTCGGCACACACCAGCTCTCAGTGGGGAGGAGAGCAGAGTAATGAAGCCAATTCATAGATGGGGATTATTAGGAGGCCACGATTGGTGAGGGCCAATGGGAAATTCTCTTTTCGAAAAACGCCCTGGGATTTTTAATGACCACAGAGAGAAAGGACCTCGGTTTTACGTCTCATCCGAAGGACGGCGCCTGTTTACAGTATAGTGTCCCCGTCACTATACTGGGGCATTAGGACTCACATGGACTGCAGGGTGAGCGCCCCCCTGCTGGCTCCACTAACACCTCTTCCAGCAGCAAGCTTAGTTTTTCCCAGGAGGTGCCCCATCCAGGTACTGACCAGGCTCACACCTGCTGAGTTCAGTGGGATGCCAGATGTGAGTTGCAGGGTGATATGGCTGCTGGCTGTAAGACAGCTAGACATTAAACTGTATACTCTAATACAATTACAATGAATAAGAGGGATTGTTTGAGACAAGAAATCGTGGTTCAATTACAGCTATGAGCATTTATTAAACACAACATCAAGTATCGGTATTGCATGTCTATTCTGGTTTAACCGTACAGCCAAACCAAGTACCTCTCCAAGCTCGAGTGCCCTTGTGCACAAGCACTACTGTGTAAAATCGGCACCGACCATGTTGGTGAATAAGAGAGGTGTGTGATACTCAGTGCATCGACAGTGTGACGATTTAGAAGAACATTGCTTGAACAGGTTCAATTTAATAATATTTATATCGTTTGGTATAAGTTAAAAACCACGTTTAATTATTTTAGTAACACCGAGTTTAACCCACAAAGCTAAAACCACTCCCTTTCCAGAGTTGGTAGAATCGGTTCGCCTGACAGGAAGAACCGGTGTTTACAGTCGAAACACAGGAAGCTCAGAACTGTAAGACGTGTTTGTTAAGTTTTCGCCACCAAAATGGAATTCATTCACCGATTATGAGGCGTGAAACAGTTCAGATCGGCGGCAGTTTCAATGGCGTGACCATCTGAAGTCAGTAGAAAAGCCTGTTAAAACAACAAGGAGGTCTACAGTGGAGTGGTAGCTGAGCAAGTACTGCTCAGAGAAGTAAATATTTATTCACAGGTAACTTAATTCAGTGGAATATGTGTCATATCGAACAATGAAGAATAAACCACACAGTCCTTCTAGTTTGCTTAAATTAGCAGAACAGATGGATAGACCAGACGGTCGCAATACATTTTTCATTTTGTGTAATTTGTTTCTTAACGGGTGTGCAGTGTATTTCAGAATCCGCGGCCATTGCAAAATACACGTTTCCATCTGTTAGTCACCTAACACGAGGGGTTATTAGTATGCAATTTCCGTCTTTGGATTCCAGACCATGCATTTTGCAATCAACTATAACGCCAAAAGGCTCAAATCTTAGTACAAGGAATGAATCAGATCTTCAGAATTGGCACTACTAATCGAACTACTGTTCGTTGAAGATGCAGAAACTCAGATGATCTCTAACGGATTTATTTCGGGTCGACGATGTTTGGTTGATTTAAGTTTTGCAGTCTGAAACACAATTACCTGTACTTCTGCATTTTGCTGTACTCTCCGCATGCGTCTGTGCCACTATTCTATCGGGACTGCATAAAGCGTTCTGTGATGGTGGTCACCAAACTGATGCGCTGCATATAATGACTGGTCGAGGAGTCACTTCATAGTGAAGTTCTTCATAAGAATTTTGCACCTTAACTCAGTATTTGGTGGAAGGATCTTTGGCAGTCATTTAAGTTTGCACAGTGGTGTGGTGTAGTTTTGCCCGGTCTTCCAGGCTTTCAGATACTTTCATCAGTTGTTCATTCCATCAGAGCGTCATTAGTCATTGTGCTGGGTGATTGACTGGCAGAGACCGGGAGCAGGACTGCTGTTTCCCTGGGGTGACCATGGGCTCGGACAGCAGCACACTGAAGAGCTGCACCCTGGAGGAATGTCAGCTGAGCCTCCCATCCGGACTCACCATGTACTCTGCCCTCCTAGAAGATGGGAAGCCAGCCTCGGTCTTCGTCTACAGGCCGGACAGCGAGGATAAAGTTAACAAGGCTGCTAAGGTAAGGAGAAGAAGCAGTGAATTGAAATAGGGTAAAAGTGAAGGACAGCCTTGGTCCCTGGGCCCAACAGTCATCCTGGGTTTAGAGGAATTTTGAAATCCAAGACAATTTGTGTGGTTGCTAAGATGATTTTGTCAAAATAAAATGGATAATTGTATACAGTTGTATAAATAATTAGCGTGGTTTTCAAAAGATGGGCACCACTGGGTTAATCAGAGGTGATTTAGATTAAGAGCATCATATTTAGTGAATTTCCAAGACAGACTTACCTTTAAATCTTTTTGTGTCAATTTTGGTTATGGAATCGGAATAGGTTTAATTATTTTGGCTGGGGAAAAGTCATGAATGGCCCCAATTCATGACCTTTGTGCTGATGTTTGCAAACATTAGGATGAACAGCTACACTCTTGACATGCCATGGAGCGCTCATACGGATGAATGTAAGTGTTTACCTGCTCAACTCATGTGGTCTCTTACCTGGTTCACACGGCAGCACCTGAAGACCCTGCGTCACCCCTGCCTACTGCGTTTCCTGTCGTGCACAGTGCAGGCTGGGGGAATCCATCTGGTAACGGAACACGTGCAGCCACTGGAAGCCATGCTGGAGAGCCTGTCTCCAGAGGAGATCTGTTCCGGACTCTACGACATTCTGCAGGCCCTCGTATTCCTTCACGACAGAGTAAGAGTCGTTCGCCTAGCTGGCCACCAGAGATCTTCAGCACACCGAGTTAGTTTGCGCTGCCCGAAAGCACCTTTTCCCCAAACACTTCACTTCCAGGTTGTCCAAGAGAAAATGCTGCACCTTTTCTGATAACTTATCAATAGCAAAAATACCGTGAATGAAAGTTTTAATGACTGTAATTTATTTAAATATATTAGCAAGTGATAAATTACACTAATGACAATGCATACCACTTTTGCAAGAGTTGTTCCTTGCACAGATTTCATTCAAGTCATTAAACAAAATGATTGAAAAAAAATACTTTTCCCTCATAGAGTAATAGCACATTGTATTACTAATTTGTTTAATGTTTTTATCCAGTGTGACTCACAGAGCTTACAGTTGCTTTTTTTACATATAAACCTTGGTGACCGTGTACACAGCTGGGTTTATGGGAGTGACATGGGGTAAAGTACCTTGCTCAAGGGTACTGAAGCAGTATCCTCACTTGGGATTTGAACCTGCAACCTCCAATGGGGAGCCTTAACCACTACTCCACAGTGCAGTGCTGTACCAATTACAGACACAAGAAAATATATGTAACTGTAGAACCTAGGAACAGTTTTTACACATGCTGCCTTAAAAAGTAGTCTGTTTCACAAAACAATCACATGTGACAACATCTCAGTTTTTTCTTCCGTGCTCTGGTAACACACTCCTGCCTGGTGTGGGGATTTCTCCTTTTATCTGCCTTTAACTGAACCTGGCTTGTCTGTACTTCAGGGTAAATCCAGCCATAACAATGTGTGCTCGTCATCAGTCTTTGTGAGTGACGACGGTCACTGGAAACTTGGGGGGATGGAGACCGTCTGCAAGTTCTCTGAAGCCTCCCCTGAGGTGAGAAATGTTTAGACTGTCCTGGTGGATTAAATATGTCTGTATGTACCTTTGCAGCTGCATCAGCTTAACCCTTAACATCTGTTGGGCCACAGGTACATTCATTTTTGGTAACGATTGTGAATTGTGGCCTTGGGATGAAATTAAGTGTGATTGGCATCCAATCACTTTCCACCAAATGTAGGGCCTATCAGGATTCCAAAAGAACTATTACTTCATTTTCTAGTTGTTTAATATTTATGATTGTTAACAAAAACCTCAACAATGGTCAAAAGCACTTTTATTGTAGGCAGATCTATAAAGGGAGTTCTTCACCACTTTATGATTAGCTAAAAGGATTAGTGATGATATTAATTGTTGTCTCTATTGTCTCTGTTGTCCTCAATATTTGCAGTTAGTAAACATGAACCGTGAAGCAAATATCTGATATGTTGCATTTTGTCATAGTTTGTTTTAGTATGAGAATTAACATTATTATAACATTAGCCCAAAGTATGAGCTCTTAAGTATGGGCTCTAAATAAAGTATTAACATATGATTCATTAATTCACTGGATTTATATCATATTCACAAATGCAAAGCTTAGTTCAAAGTTAATTAAAATTTTAAATACAATAATACAGCAAAAATCTTTATATACAGTGGTGTGAAAAAGTGTTTCCCCCCTTCCTGATTTCTTATTTTTTGCATGTTTGTCACACTGAAATGTTTCAGATCATCAAACAAATTGAAATATTAGACAAAGATAACACAAGTAAACACAAAATGCAGTTTT